TCCCTTACCTGTCACACAGCACAAAACGCATAAAAATTGGCAGGGACGAGCATATACACATAGACATGCATACAGACACCCCATCGACAATATGCATTTTTGCATTGCATAATAGATACAAAAAACGCATAAAAACAAAGCTTAACCTGGCACCTGCGTTATACTTGGCGGAATTCTGTTTGGCCTTTCAACTCGCAGAATAAAAAAAAAAAATCAAAAAGAGAAGAAAACATATACCCAGGATGAAGGTGCCTGACTAGTTGGTGCGCGCCGCTATTTATTATTGTTACTAGCACTACAATAACTATTATGATCATTACTAAAATTAATATATTACGGCCATTAGAACTTTATTAATGATGTTATTATTATATAGATATTCGACAAATCATAAGAAAAAACAATCGGCTTTGGAACGTACTAGTCATTCTGTGATCCTAACCACATCGTTGGCAGCGACGTCATATCATCTGATAAGCCTTCATACTTGCTAAGTTGTTCTTTGATATGAGCTGGAAGTGTGCCGGTATCATCTTTTGCTGCACATTCCGCACTGTCTAAAAATTTCAACTGCCATCAAACAATGCACAAAATAATTAGAAAATGTGCATATTTAAACAAATGGCCGTGCAACGACGAGAAAGCGAATTTGGCAATTTAAGCAATTGCTGAGAACTGCACTAAATGATCGATAAACGCAACAACAGTCGAAACTCAACAGAAACGATCAGATACAGGCGTGAAAAATTCAAGAAAATACTTAACTAACACATCCCCTCAGGATACTGTACAAGCATTCCAATTTACCGAAGTTCAGTAGCACATCAAGTATCTCGGATTCTGCTACAGTGATCTATAGGTCACCATTTTGCACTCATCTCCACTACGTATGCGCATCTTCAGCTTAAAGGCTAACGAAGGATCGTTCTCCTTTTCGTAGCTGCTTGGCATGCAGTGTTCACCAGTGAGCAATAAAAACAAATAATTGGCCAACGCACAGGCTGCCCGTGCGAGGATGCGTTTTTTGCTGAGTTCCCCGCAGTTTTTGTCGCTACCGGCATCGGTTTTTTCGGCAGATGCTTCTAGTTGAAAGAA